TTTTTATGCATTCATCCATTGGTAGACATCTAGGTTATTTCCAGTTTCTGGCTGTTATGAATAGAGAAGCAATGAACATGAGTGAGCAAATGTCTCTGTAGTAGGATGAAGCATCCTTTGTGTGTAGGCCCAAGAGTGGTGTAGCTGGATTGATTCCCATCTTTCTGATGAACTGCCACACTGATTTCTATAATGGCTGTATGAGTTTGCACTCCCACCAGCAAGTGGAGGAGCGTTCCCCTTGCTCCATATCTTCACCAGTGTGAGCTGTCACTTGTGTTATTGATCTTAGCCATTCTGACTAGTGTAAGATAGAATCTCAAAGTAGTTTTGAATTGTATTTTCCTGATGACTAAGAATGTTGAACATTTCTTTGCATGTTCCTTGGCCATTTGAGTTTCCTCTTTTGAGAATTCTCTGTGTAGATCTGCAGCCCATTTTAACATTGGGTTGTTTTCTTGATGTCCAGTTTTTTTGAGTTCTTTATATATTTTGGGTATTAGCTCTCTAACAGATGTGGAGCTAAAGAAATCTTTTCCCATCCTGTAGGCTGCCACTTTTCAAATGATGTGTCCTTTGCTGTGCAGAAGCTTCTCAGTTTCCTGAGGTCCCATTGATTGATTGTTGATCTTGGTGCCTGTGCTAATGGTGTTCAGTTCAGAAAGTCTTGTCCTGTGCCAGGGCTGTTTCCCACTTTCCTTTCTATCCGGTTCAGTGTGTCTGGTCATATGTTGAGGTCTTTGATCCACTTGGACTTGAGTTTTGTGCACGGTGATAGACATGGATCTATTTGCATTCTTCTATAAGTATATATCCAATTAGACCAGCACCACTTGTTGAAGACGCTTTCTTTTTTCCAGTGTGTATTTCTGGCTTTATCAAAAAATCGGGTGTTCATAGGTGTGTGGATTTATGTCTGAGTCTTCAGTTCAATTCCAGTGATCATTGTGTCTGTTTTTGTGTCAGTACCGTGGTTTTTATTACTATAGCTCTGTAGTGTGACTCGAAATCTGAAACGGTGATACCTCCAGTAGTTCTTTGATTATTCAGGTTTATTATATCTGAAAATTGTCATTTCAAGATCTGTGAAGAATTGTGTTAGAATTTTGATGGGGATTGCATTGAATCTGTAGAATGGTAAAGGTGGCCTTTTTTTTTTTTTTCCTTTTATTTTATTTTACAATACCAATTAGTTCTACATATCAGCCATGGGTTCCCCTGTTCTCCCCCCTTCCACCCCCTCCCCTTTCCCCCAGCTCACGCCCCATTCCCACCTCCTCCAGGGCAAAGCCTCCCCTGAGGACTGCGATCAACCTGGTAGACTCAGTCCAGGCAGGTCCAGTCCCCTCCCTGCATAAGTCCCAGGTTTCAAACAGCTAACTCATGCAATGAGCCCAGGACTTGGTCCCACTGCCTAGTTGCCTCCCAAACTGATCAAGCCAATCAACTGTCTCACCTATTCAGAGGGCCTGATCCAGCTGGGGGCCCCTCAGCCT